CAGACACGCCCCCCCCCCCGCCCGCACGCATGCCTGCCCACCTGTTTGTGGCTCCCTGGACGGCAGACCGTACAGCTGCAGCCAGGTAAGACATCCCCCGAAAATAAGACCTAGTGTCTTTTTTCGTGAAAAAAATAAAATAAGACACTGTCTTATTTTCGGGGGAAACACGGTATTCCCCCAGATTGTCGACCAATCAGTTTCGGAAATAGAGGAGCCTAAATCATCCTCCCAATTGGTTTGGTAGAGCATAGTGGATTGTGAAAGATGATCGGATAGGGAGGATTGAATTAAGGTTATCAGGCCGGGTGAGTGTGGATCACACCTACATCTGTGTTCAAAAAGGGTAATAGAATATGGTGGAGAAGCTAAACAACTCAATGATTGTACAAAGTTACAAATTTGGTGGTAGTGGAATAATTCAGTTTATGGTATTCGGAATGATTCTCTAAGCTGAGTGAAGGTACGAATCCCCTGGGGCGTGAGCATGGAGAATAAATTTTCCAAACCACTATTAGATACATTATAGGAATAGACACATTATGTATCTATTCATGAAAGAAAAAAAGAAAAAAAAGCCAGTATAGCTTGAGAGAGATATCTCTTGATATCTATACAAGCTTTCTACAAAAGCCGGCATGTGTGTCCCCCTGCTTTGACTCTCAGACACCCGATATTAAGGTATCGGGTGTCTGAAAAAGGTTAACCCTTTCATTAATGAATGCCTCTGTAGTAAGGGCATCCATTAATGAATGTTAAACGCTGATTCTCAGCGGTTAACAGCCCTCTAAAGCAGCAAATACCTCGTCATGTACAGTGTACGTGACAAGTCATTTGGTCCCTTTGTGGCTGGACGTACAGTGTACGTCTCCCGTCACGAAGGGGTTAAAGAGTGCTGCATGGCAGGACCTAGGCAAGGGGGCCTGTAGGAGGGTGGGAGCCACAATAAATTAGAAATTAGAGTAGGGAAGGCATCCACCTTATCGATGGAAACCCATAAGGGCAAATACGTTTTGGATGATAGAAGTACAAGAGGGGCAATTTGTGCTGCTCTATAATAATTCAGTAAATTAGGCACCCCTAAACCCCCATACAGTCTGGGCCTGAAGAGAACTGGAGTGTGTATTCGCGGTTTAGTTCCTCTCCAAATAAAATTGGAAGTATCCTTTTGTATTATGCAAAGTATATGTGAAGGCACCGAAATTGGTAAGACTCTAAATACATAGAGTAAGTTAGGAAGAAATGATGTTTTAACAGCATGGATGCGCCCTATCCAGAACACACTAAAACCCTTCCAAGAAATCAGCAGTTTCATAAATTGGTGGAATAATCTCGGGTAATTTGCTTGATAAAGAGTAGAATACAAGGGGTGAGTTTTATTCCTAAATATTGAAGGGAGGAAGACCACGGGAACGAGTATTGTAGTTGTCATTGTGATTTTGTAGCTTCCTGTAGAGACACATTCATTGCTTGTAATTTAGATGGATTAATTCGCAAGCCCGAGACTGTCACAAATTTGTCTAATAAAGCGATTAGGTTTGGTAATGAAGAATGTGGAGAGGTCAAGGTTAGCAGTATGTCATCTGCAAATAAAGAGAGTTTATGTGAGTATTCAGCGATTGATAGGTCTGCTATTCCTGGATCCAATCTAATCGAGATCGCCAGGGGTTCAAGGGCTAATATAAATAGGATAAGGGAAAGTGGGCACCCCTGCCTAGTGCCACGTTCTATCTTGAAGGGGGCAGAACTGAATCCCTGATATTTAAAAATAGCTGTAGGACAGGAGTAAATTGCATGTATCCAAGACATAAGGTATGGCCAAGAGATGGAATCAAAGGCTTTATTCATATCTAGGGAGAGTAGGAACATTTCCCTTTTACGTTGATGAGCCAGATGACACAATGAGATAATTGTGTGTATTATTCGCAGCTTGTCTTAGGGGCACAAAACCCACTTGTTCGCTGTGAATTAGTTTACCTAAGAAATCGTTAATGCGGGTGGCTAATATTTTTGTCAGAAGTTTCACATCGACATTTATTAAAGAAATTGGACGAAAGTTCGTACATTCCCTTTTTAATACAAGACAGTACTCTGCTAGCTTTGTTTGCCGCAGCCTGGCATTGCGTGCTATTATTCAATCTGTGGTCAACTATGACCCCCAAATCTTTTTCCATTTCTGACTTCCCTAATGGAGCACCCATTGTGTATTCTGCATGCCTGTTTTTAACCCCAAAATGCATTACTTTACATTTTTCAACATTAAAGATCAGCTGCCATATAGTTGCCCACTCTCCTATTTTATTTAAGTCCTCCTGTAGTTTTATATTGTCTATGCCATTGTCTATTGCCCTCCCAATTTTAGTATCATCTGCAAACACAGAAACATGGCTATTCCCACCCTCCCCAATATCATTAATAAACAGGTTAAACAATATGGGGCCTAGCACAGAAGCCTGGGGAATGCAACTCACTTCTCTAGACCAAAGTGAAAAAGAGCCATTTATTAATACTCTCAGGGCAAAAATTAGCATTTAACCCTAGCCGTGTGTGGGGAGCCCCAATACAAGGGTAGTTTTTACATTTCCCCAGAGTATAACTTTAAACTTGTTTTGAGTGAAACATGTCAGAGAGAGGAGCTCGTAAGGGTGGAAGTGGTGACTTGTTGTTGACAAAGTTTCACCACAGAGTACAAATATTACAAAATAATGCATGAAATAAAAAAAATCCTACTGGCTTAGATGGAGGCCCATTTCTTGTAGTGCCTGTTCCTGTTCATCGCGCAGCTTCTGCAATTGTTTTTTCTCGAGGTGTAACTTATCAAAGTCCTGTTGTATAAAAAAGACAAATCTTGTATAATGAACACAGCTATTGCAGGTTGAGGAAGGTATTACTTGCAGATTTAAAATAAACAACAATAAAAAACTGTAGCGTTACACATCAATGTAACTACTGCTACACTGCTCATAATCCACACATTGGCTTCAGTGCTCTGGATAATCTAATGTTAAAAGTTGATTATCCAGAGCACTGAAGCCAATGTCTGCAACATAAACTATGTGGTTCCCTACAGAAAGAAAGTAAATATGTATTAATTCGTCTGCAGGAACCAGCAAAAGACCCAATAAAAATTTGACAGGAAGAGACACAAGTCACAGAAACAGTAATTATTAATTTCCACTGGGGTGAGAAAAAGCCAACACGGACAGAAATTACATAAGCCACCTTACTCAGGGGAGAAAAATCCTGGCTATAATTTAAACTAGGATCTGACACCGATTTAGAAAACCTTGATGGCAGTTGCAAGCTCGCTGTAATCAGACAGCAGAGGAAATGTTAAAAACAGTGGATGCCACATCAGTGGAGTCAGAAAACAGTACAACTGCAGAAACCCCCCCAGGAAATATAGAGCTGAGCGAGGCAGGTGTATTCTAATCTGGTTTACAACTGATAATGAGATCTGCCAGCAGAGTACAGGCAGGGTTAATTACCATAAACATTACCCTCCCCACTCCCCTTGCAGTGCAGATGAAAATTCAGTACAGAGAAAAACATTTCTTTGAGAACTGAGCATGTTTTATACAATCAGCAATTTACTTTTTTTTTAAGTTATGCTATGTGAATGAGAAATATATAAAAACTGTGTTATCCCAATTTGGCTGCAAAAGCGCAAATACACTTTAAATCTATTCTTGAGCGATGTCATAAGAAGGCTAGAGCATGTCTGAGATGCAAAATTCTACTTATACTACTGGCAGGTGGTGTGGACCAACACCAATAAAAAGTGCACCTGGCCACAGAAGTAATATTGCAAGGGTGGAAGCTGGGTAAGGGGACAGATGACCTGTTAAAACTATGGATCCTGGGGGCACTAGTGAGCAGCCGAGCAAGATGGCCGCGTCTTAACTCGGCTCCACATCACCCGGACGTGATACTCACAAATTCTCTGGCCAGGGAGAATGTTTTCAGCCCCTTATACATACAGCTCTTACATTGAGGTGGGGGAGAAGGGAAATGGGGAAGAACTCCACTTCTAACAGTTCTAATCAGTGGACATCGGTCGTTTCTACTCCGGCCTGCTCCTCCAACAAGCTAGCGCCTTCATCGCCTAGGTCAGAGCTGCAGCCTCCCTCCCAGGAATTGATGACGGACATCGACAGCTCTTCTGAAGACAGTGCAAACTCTAAGCTGCCATGCAACCAACCCGATGTCACCTGCAGGGATTTGGCTCTCCTAGAGAAGTTCAAACTACTGATGCAAAAGGAGTTACAGACAGCTACGGATAAACATGCACAGATCGGTTCTCCGCATTATATTACAAGAATTTCACTGATTTATTATCCCCTCACTTAGTAGATTTATTTAACATCTGAAATTGGGCTCAAAGTTACACCCCTCCTCTTTATTGGCACAGATTGTTATGCTCCCTAAGCCAGGCAAATATTATTCAGATCCTCACAGTTACATGCCCAGCTCTCTGTTAAACATTGACATTAAGATACTTTCCAAAATACTGGCCTCTAGAATGAACTCTTTTCTGGAACACTTGGTTCACAGGGACCAGGTAGACTTTGTCCCGCATCGGCAGGCCCCGTACAATACTACAGCTAATCCATCATACGCATCAAGCCGCCGCCCCTAGGTATGTTACTGTCCCTTGACATATATAAGGCATTCAACTCCATTTCCTGGGAACACCTATTCTATGTCTTGGATAAATGGGGTTTCCCTGATACTTTTTTGAAGTGGCTTAAAGCCCTTTACCATAATCCCTCGGCTTCTATACGTTCTCTTCACCACTCATCCCCAAAGTTGTGGGTGTTGTTGTGGTGGGGCAGATGGAGTACAAGCTTAATTTATTTGCGGATGACTTGCTCCTCACCATTACTCAGCCTCATATCACATTACCTAACTTGTTTGCTACCTTGCTTCATGTTTAAATGTTAAATAACATCTCTCTGCCGTTGGAGACTGTGGATTCTCCACGCCGCAATTTTCCTTTTATGTGGCGGGAGACCCATTTGGAGTATCTGGGCGTTAACATAACTAGGAACTATGGTTCCCTGTACAAATCAAATTATATCACACTATTCCGCCAAATAAAAAGACTTTCTCTCTAGTTGGTCCCGCCACAACCTTTCTTGGATGGGGAAAATGAATGCAGTCAAAATGACTATTCTCCCGAAACTGCTATACCTCTTCCGCACCCTGCCAATCGTGATACGGGGCTATGCCATTAAAGCTTTCTAAAACCGGTTACTGACTTTTATTTGGGGCAATAAGAGGCCTAGAGTAGCTAGCTCTACAATATGTGCTCACAAGCAACTGGCTGCTTTCTGTTCCTCTGTTTCAATTAGAGCACTCCCCTGGCTTCCTTCAACAGTGTGTCCTGACTCCATGAGCCCCATCATGTGTCAATTACTTAAGGTCTGGGATGGCACCAGGTATTACAGCAAGCTGATTTCTCCCCACTTACATTTACTCCCTGTCCTAGGCAACCCACTATTTCCCCCGGGTTTAGAGTCGCCAGGGGCATCTGGGTGGTGGACATCACATAAGTTCCAACACCTACATAATTTCCTGAAGGAGGCTGAGATTCGTAGTTGGTCCACTATTCAGGATACTCTCCATGCACCTTCCACGGAACATTACCGCTACCTTACAACTAAGACATTGGGTTTCTTCTCACCAACGGAGTATCACCTCTTTCTTTAATAGTATTTGAACATATCTGTTGCCACATGCCTTTACAACCTAAACTAATATCTATCATATATTCACAACTTAATTCAGTTTCTTCAACGCAGGACCATGGCTACGTCCAAAGGTAGGAGCGGGATCTTCGAGATTCTAAAACTGAGGAAGAGTGGCAGCAGATGTAGGCAACAGCAGCTAGATGCACCATTAACATCACCTCCGTGGAGACTACATACAAATCTTTAATGAGGTGGTACATGGTCCCTGCTAGAATGGCCCATTTAGATCCCCAACAGTCTGGCCTTTGTTTCTGCAGTTGCCCTGTTCCTGGGGATGTTTTGCACATTTGGTGGTCCTGCCATATGATTGGCAAGCTCTGGACACGGACATTCCGCATGTTGGAGTCTCTTTCACCCTTAGGTTACCAGGGACCTGTGGGTTGCCCTTTTACACTATAAACCTGTGTCCCTAACAGTAACTCAACATAAACTGGTGATTTTTGTCCTGCTGGCAGGTAAGCAAGCTATAGCCTAAGTGTGGAAAAAACAACTCATATCCTACTAATAGGTAAACCTGGCACTGTTTACACCTTAACCTCTCTGTTCTCTTGGACTTCAATGCTTGTCTGTTATTTACTTTCCTTCTTATTCTTCCCACCTCTCTTTTCCTCGTCTCCTCTTCATACTGCCCGTCCAGCCAAAAATACGTGTTCCATCTTTAGGAGGACAAAAGTTAACTAATATTATGATTTGATTTCTGCCCCGTCAATGCCAAGGCATTCAATTCTATTTTTTTTTGCTCTACTCTCTCTGTGGCAGAGACGTACAGTATTACATGGTACAACATAAGATGTGGTCTGTATGAACCTCTTTCTGTTTCACTATATTGATATGTATTGTAACCTTTGGAATGTGTTCGGTTTATAAAACAAATAACATTTTTGTGAATGAAAACTATGTACCTATACTACAACCTAGGTATATATTTCAGAGTATACAAAAACATTTACAAATATTAATATTTCTATGTTTGAACAGCAGATTAATCATTAATGAAAGGAAAAGACCCACCTTCTTTAATTGGGAAAACTGTAGTAATTCAATTTGTAGAGACTGTTTGAGGTCTTTCTCCTTGTGAAAGTCTGCTTGAAGAGATTCATGTTGCTCTTTTTCTAATTGAAGTTCATTCTCTAAACTGGAACTGTTAAAGGGGAAAAAATAAATAAATGAATTAGAGACTAAAATGTTTCTTTCACAAAGTTAATGAAAATCATAAAGAATAATATGACTTTTGTACTCACCGTAGTCTTAAAGTGTATTACCACTTGTGCAGCCCAATTGGGATATCACCTATTTTACATTTGTTACATGTTGTCACTCACAGAGCATAATTTGCACACAAAAAAAGTTCAAAAATTGCAGCTTGCATATCACTTGCTCTTTCCTGAAAGCAAAGAATTTTCCTCTGGAATGCAAGGGGGCAATGAGTTAAGGTTAACCTAATTAACCATGTCTCCACTGTGCTGTTAAGAGTTCATTACCAGATGTGAACTGGATTTGAACACTGTCTGTCCAAACAAAGGATTAAAGATCTAGAAGCATTGTATGTTAAGGAAAGAAAGCTGACTCCAAGGAAAGAAAGCGGTCTCCAGTCTTTCTATGGGGGTAGCCAGAGTTTCCTGTCACTATGAAATGTAGAAAAGCTCCAAAGACCAGCTACATAGACATATCTAAATATATATTTTACGTATTTCTATTTTTCAGTATGCTGTGTGAATAGGAGCACATAACAAACATATAGAGGGATTCTCTCAAATTTGTCTGCAACAGTGGAAATACACTTTATATGTTCATTGAGGGACAAAAAAAACCTTAAAACATTTGGGTTGTACTGCTGGCTACAGGAGGATTGGACATTGTCAAACAAAAAAAGACTAGCCCAGGATAACCAATCCTAATGCCAGCATGCCTCAATTTTTGTGGCACAGCAAAACAAAGTATGTCTTAAAAAAGTCATAAAAAAAAGTGGGGTGGGACCTGGGACCCTCAATTGACCCAAAGAAAACAGGATTTTTGTCTTGCTCGTGAAATGAGTTTAATTAAATATTAAATTCCTTACACAGCCGCTTTCCTTGCTTCACCTGCAAAGTCGTCCACCTGCCAGTTTTCCTCACCTGGAATGTGTATGACAGATAGGGCCGGAACAAGATGAAACCAGGTTCCCTCGACAAAGCTTTGGACAATACTGATAAGGTCTGACATACCGCCATGATGGTAACAGCAGGTTGCATAGCTGATCCAGCAAATGCAAAAACAGCCCTGTCTGCCTTATATCCAAGTAGTGCAAAGGCAGACAGAAAAGGTCAGAAGGAGCCTCAGAGGGCAGAAGAAGGGGCCTGTTTGCAACCCCATATGGCCTGAAGTCTCAAAGAGGTCAGCCATAATAGCAGTTATCACCTCTCTGAATAATAAGGAAGAGAAGGATGCTCTGGAGGGTGCAGAGGAGGACCCAGATGCAAGAAGCAATGGGGACAGGAAGCAAATCATGGGACTAATAGAGGTAATTTCAACAGAGGGGGTAAAGCCATCTCCAAAACCAATGTTAGGTTATGTGGCCCCTATGTCTATGATCTACCATTGTGTGTCCCAATTACTCCCGCCCTGCATGTGAGGAAGGTGCCCCGTGTCCAGACACTTGTAGGCAGAAGGAGACCCAGACATAGGAGCCATAAAGCGGTGTACAGCTTCTACTCACTGTTCCCATACAGAGTTGCAGCAGCTGAAGCGTGTATACAGCCAGAGCGTGTGCCAATGAGAGAGAAAGTGGTGGGCATATGCAAAGTATGGCATATGGGAGGGAAGCACATGTAGAAGCTGCTTAGCAAAAAATGGCACCAGAGGTGAATTTTAGATTAGAAGCGTCACTGAATGATGTGACCAAAGAGTCACAGTAAAGACTCAATTAGGGAACTGGGGCTACCGCCTGGGCACCTGTGGGGCAAGGTCACAACTAAAGACATGTAATCCTCACCATGGATGTAGCAGTAGTGAATGTGAGACATGCCATGTGTACTTAGCTTTATGGGTGGGCATAACCCCCTAGGGTGCTCTTCAGGGTCAAGATGGTAAATAATTCCCTTGGAACAGAAGATACTGACAATCTGGCAAGGTCCATGGAGAATCTGCCAGATATCTTACCAGGTCAGTGTACCACATTCACCAGCCAGTCTAGAACAATAAGGATGCCCTTCATCTTGATTTGCAGTTCAGACTAAGAAGAAGCTTTAGTGAAAGAAATGCATAGGTTAGGGTGTACTCTTCCCATGGATCCACCCAAGCATTTATTGTATCTGTAAGGGGATCCCTGTATCTGAATACAAACCTGTCCAGATTGTCATTGAGCCTGGAGGCCAGGAGCTGCACACCCGGCATCCACGACTTGTGACAAAATTCCTGGAACACCTCCAAGTGCAGGGACCACTCTACTGGGTCAAGGTGCTGCAGCCTGAGATACCGTGCAGGGCTAATGGTCTACAATTGGAATGTACACGGCTGACAAGGTTGGAATGTTTAGTTCTATCCAGAACATGATCTGCTCTACTCTTGCCTCAACAAAAGCTCTGGTTCCTGTGTGATGAATGATTTATCCCACGGCCATGGGGTAGTCTGACTGAAATTAGATTGGATGACCCTCCAACAGGGTGTTCCAAATCTAAAGGGACAACTAAATGACCCAAAGCATAAGGATGTTTATTGGGAAACAAGTTTCCGCTGAAGAAAATGTTCCCTGCACCGACAAGGTGCCCATGACACCTCCCCACCCCAACAGGCTGGCGTCTGTCATGAGAAACTTCCAAAGATGGGAAGAAAAGGCTTCCCTGACTCCAGAGGTGGGTTCTCTTGCCACCAGTAGCACCACCAGTAGCATCCTGGATAATGGTATCAAGAGCCAGTCAGAAGGACATGCAGATCAAACCATGGGCCAATATGAGCCACATGGTAGAGAAACAATAGGAGCAAACCATCACAGCTATCTGCTCTACAATGCAGCCGTGGCTAGATCTCTAAAGGATTTAGACCAGTCAAGCATGGCTTGACAAGGTAAAGTCACAGCTGGGATCACTGTAGAGCAGGACCTGCCAACCAAGAACAGGGCTCTGGGAAGGGCATCCATAGTAAGCACCTTCCTAAGGTGAGACAGGGTCAGTTCCACAGTGGGAATTGACCATTTCCCCATAATCCACTATAAAACAGATTTAACACTCACAAGCTCTTGGAGGCAGCAAACTTATCAGGGTGTTTCCAATCTTTATAGAAAAAAAGTTGGAAAAGCGAGTGCCAAGGTAAAGTCTTTTCAACCTTTCAGTTTTAAATGACCCAAGACCACAAAAACAGTACAATTACTTGAGCAACTCAGAATCAGTCAGTCTTTGTGGTCGATAGTTTAGAAGCCACTAGGAAGTACGCCTAAAGCCTCTGTGATCCAAATCAGCAAATAACTGGGTAATCAGGGTCATAAAGTAAAAACCATAAGTAAAGTAAAGACCATAGTAAAAACCTCAGCTAAATGGGCAGAGGACCCAGCTACACCTGATGAAGTCAAAGAGTTCTCAGAGGAAGTGAGGGACTCTAACAGAAGAGCAACAGTGAGCAACAGTAAGCATGCTGCAAGCTGCCAAAGAGCCATTATTAAAAAGCAAGCTGGAGGCACATGGTACAGCATTACTGTCCCTCTAGTGTCTAGAATTAAAGATGTTTCAGCCACGGTGTGGTAAAGCAATGTGTAGACGTAGGGCAAGTACTCACTAAACCTAGACAGTTGGCCAACTGGTGAAGGTTGGATTGCCAGTGGTGATCAAAGTCACTGTAGGAAGGCATCAGGTACAAACTGAAAACGGGAGTTCCCATGACGCTTTGCAAGCAGGAACAGCAGTGGGTAGATGCTTCCTTGACAGTCTATGCGCTTAGTACCACAGTATTAACCTTTTCTTTAGCAAGAAATGATGGGAAAAAATAAAGTCCAGAGAGCAATGAAAATTAGGTTTCTCCCAATGCTAGGCCAAACCAGCCCACTCACTGAGTGAGACTTCAGAGACAGGGCCAACGCCAAGGCTCTGTTCCTGGAAAGTGATCCACAGTTCATTTTTACTAGAACTGGAAAGTATGCCTTGTAAAGGTACCTACAACAACAGCAACGGGACCGTGCTGGACTGGACACTGTGAGGATAGCCGTGAAGTGACCTTAGGCAGTGGGTTCTATGTGGACTGCTTCCTGGACCTCCCTGTGTCTCCAATGGCTGAGAAAGAAAAGTGAACATGTTGTTCTTGGCAATCACACTATGATTTGTGTTTTGCAGATTTGTCTTACAACAGTCACTCTTTCTGGAGAATTGCCTAAAGTAGGCAAAAGGTAAAACATTTTGTGTTATTATAGACAACTCAAGGCTGAATATGGGTGTAACATGAAACATGGTCAGAAAGGTAAGGCTGAATCCCTGATTATTATTCATTCATTAGTGGACAATGTAATAGACTTGGATAAAGTAGTGTAAAAGTTGAATCTTTAGGTTAACAAATGTGTTTCCTATATTCCCTTTAGCAGCACAAATCAGGGGTGTGGAGTTTCTATCGCCCGACGCCCGGGACAGGCAGTTTCGGGTGCCGGGGCGAGTAGTTTTTTTGTACATTTAGCCCTGCGCCGGCGTGGTTTTCGTGGTCCCCTGTTCCTCTGGGGGACCCGTGACCATGGCACATGAGCTCACCACAGAGCCCGTAGAGGAGACGAAGAACGTCCGTTCTTCGCCTGCTGTGTGTTATCACTGAGACCGCCACCTATCTCAGCTGTCAGGAACTGCACAGAACATCTGTTCTGTGTTGGAGGGCAGGTTACATAGAGAGAACCGGTCACCTCCAAACTATCACATAAGGGATTTTTAAGCCCCTATGTAATTGTAGCCAGGCAGCAGAACTCTCCTACACGCACAATGTGCATTAAAGGGTAAGATCACTTTCCCAAGTAATATGGGAAAATGGAGTTACCCGATCAAATCTGGCCTGATCTCTCCCAAACCCATCCCCCGGCTATACTTACCTTTCGGCAAACAGTCCTCACCCTCCGTCAGTACAGGTGTACTATCTGTACCCCGTAACGCAGTCCAGCCCTATGCATTTTGAATTTCGCCCGCAAATTGCAAGCACTCATTGGTCAGCGTGGTCCACGCTGACCAATGAGAAGCGCTATTTAGCACAGTCAAATACTGTTTTGATTAGGAATGCACCAATTCAGAGTATTTGGGCAAGTACGTGTACTCGCCCAACTGCTCCGATACCTTCCCTGTCAGCGGAAGATTTCCACTGACCGGCAGTGTCGTATGGGAAACATGGAGCCAGCTTCCCATGCAATCAGGAAGCAGGGCAGCGACTAATGACCCGCCTCCCAGTTTCCTGATTGGCCGGGAAGCTGGGTCATTAGTCAATGCCCTTCTTCCTGAACATTGAGTCGGCTTCCGGCCAATCAGGTCATTACTCGCCGCCCAGTTTCCTGATTGACTGGGAAGCCGTTTTCCCGGCCAATCACAATCAAGCCGGCCAAACAACATGGAGTCGGCTTCCCTGGCAATCAGGAAGCTGGGTAGCATGTAATTACCCGCTGCCCAGCTTCGTGATTGCCCGGGAGGCCTGCTCCATGCCAAAGGAAGCACCAATACTCGGTATCGACGAGTACCGAAAGCAAAATATCAGTACTCGTACTCGATACCCAAAAACCTATATCGGTGCATCCCTAGTTTTGATTAAAACTATTTTTTTTGTATTGGGACAAGTAGATTGTCGTGAGGGACTGGTAGATTCGGCCCCCGCTTTAGCCCTTGGACAAGTAATTTTTTTTTACATTTCCACACCCCTGCAAATACATGTAAAAAAGTCAATATTAATAAGCCATAACATTTTCTTCTTTCTTCTTACCAGCGACTTTCCAGTTTTTTAAGCTGCTGCTGTAAGTATTCATTTTTGGCATCAAACTCCTTTTTCATTTTATTGCAGTTTTCCTCAGATGTTTGTCTCATTTTTTCAGATTTTTTAAATCTAGCAATGATAAACAAATACATAAAATACTTAAATATATTTCACTAGATCAGAAACACGCATGTATGACTTTCCAGAATACTGATAAGACACAAAGCAAAGACCTCAAGCCTTTGTACAGACATAGCTCAGATTTGTACATTCAGTAAGCCACTTATTTTGCCATTTTAGTAGAACTTATTACAGGAATAAGGTAGAGAAATAAGGTACAGGAATACAAATACATGATGAATTAACAACTGTACACAGAAGTTAAATAAGGTCTAAATGCACATTTACATGCACTTACGTGCAACCAATAACACAGTTAGTATTTAAGGTTTTTACAAACAGAACACACTTTGGATCATAATCCTGCTGATTTACATAACCAGTCTTATTAAATTAGCATAGCAGCTCTCTCACATATATCCTCTCTCACATCCATCCTCTCACAGTTTTTTTTTCTCAAATACCATTTCTAAAAATAGGTTTTAGAAATGTACTGTCTTTTCTGACAGACTCAATGGATTCCTTCAAGTCTGATGCTCAGCAGAAGGTGCAGAAGTAGCTCAAGAATAGGAAATTAAAAAAATAGAAAGTAAGAAATCCATGCTGCAACCAGGGAGTTGGCCACTACCGCTAGGGAATCCTTTAATCTAGCTACCAACACTTGGTCCCTTCATTTCTAACAGGAAGCTATCAGATCAACTTCTAGGCTTTCCCACCATTGTAAAAAACCATCACTATCTTGGTATCCAAGCCCTAGTACTCCAGACAACAAAAAGGAACCAATAAGGATTTGTGGTTGTTAAAAATGCAGATACAAATTTGTAGAGTTACAAACACAATCTGCATGTTGAGCTGCAAGTCAAATTTGGTGTGGATTTAATGATGAGATCATCAAGATAAACGATTATTAATATACCCCCCGTTGCTTAATGATTATTATACACAACTCTACAATATCTCCTCTTCTTCTACTTCCCCTTCGGATTCTTTAGCTGATTATATCTCTAAGAACTCCCTGCCCTCAGTACCTTTTTTTTACCTATTTTTCGGGAATTCTCTGCCTTTAGTACCCTTAGTAACTTCAAGGTTAATATGGATAAATCAGAGGTTTTGAATATTTCTCTTTTGGATTCAGAATTCTCCAGCTTAGGTAGACCTTTCCCTTTTCTTGGCAGACTCGTTCCATTAAATAAACCGGAATTACCCTTCTATCTGATTTAGGTCAAATTGTTCCATCTTCATTTTTCCCCTCTCTTAGTCACGGATATCCTCCTGAAGTTCTTTTTTTCCCCAAACTATTCCCATTAGGTTCCCCCGTATTTATTTTTCTCAGCTTCGTAATAGGTTTTATTTGTTCATTTGGTCCTCTAGTAAACCTAGGCTTAGTTATCGCCTTTTTACTAGACGCAAGGAGACTGGGGGAGCGGGTCTACCTGACTTCCAACTATATTATAAGGCTGCAATATTGATTGGTCTTTTAGATTGGTTTCATAATAGTGAATATAAGCAATGGGTCTCTCTCGAGTTTCAAGTTTCATCTCTTCTTCCTAAAGCAGCAATCTGGGCCCCCATCTCTCTTAGGCTCAACTACAGATTAGCCTCTTTTAACCTACTCTGTCTTGTGGAACTGGCATTACTCTTGTACCCCTCCTATTGCTCTCAACATTGCCTAGCCCTCTCACCCCGTTGCTAGATAATTCCCAGTTTCCACCTGGTCTCCATGCATCGTCGTTCTTAGATTGGGATAGACAGTTTTGGCCACAATTTCGTCATGTTTTACAAAGTGGCTCTTTACTATTTTACTCGACAGTTCTAGCCAAACGCTTTTTGGATGATAAGGCTTGGTTGTCGTATTCCAACTCTTCCGCTATTATCATTCTATGCACTCTGCATCTGACCTACATAGGGACCTCTGGCCCTTTAAATAAAAATTCTGCGTGTCTACCTCCTCGCCGTTTCACGTAATTTCCTTGCTATATGGTCTCTTTCTCTCTCGCCGGTCTTTTGCTCTCATACACTCAAAAATTGTTGTCAGAATTAGACTCCGCCATAAGTCCTGCAGATTGGCAGACAATATTTCTGTTTACACATAAATTAGCTATGTCGTTTAAAACTCAGGAACAAACCTTTAAGTTGCTCTCCAGATGGTATCTGACCCCTGTAAGACTCCATCGTATTTTCCTTTCAATTTCTGAGTCCTGTTAGAGGTGTTGGCAGGCAGTGGGCACCTATCTACATGTTTGGTGGGCCTGTCTTACAGTTCATAAATTGTGGACACAGGTTTTAGCTTTATATAATAAGGTTTATGCAATGGAGTTTCAGAATACTCCTGAGCTTAAGTTACCTACCCTTTTTTCTAGTTCTCTCCCGAAGACCAAGCGCTGTTTAGGCTATTTCCTGTTTTCGGCTCGCTAGGCAATTGCGAGACGCTGAAAATCCACTCTTCCCGCAATGTTTTGACTGGCTTGATATTTTAGACGATATTAGGCATATGGAGGAATTAGTTGCTATTGATAATGATAATTTAGAGGGATTTATTCATTCCTGGACCGCTTGGATCCTTTTTAAGGATTCTGTCGAGTTTCGGACTTCTTTTCTTAGCACTTAGAGAGTGCTTTGACTGTTAATTGTTCAGCAGGTGGTTTCCATGCCTTTACATTTACCTAATTTTGCAATGCGACTTTGTATCTTTGCATGGGCATTCCTTCGCTGCCTCTTCTCATTTAGATTAAATCTGTCTTTTTCTACACTTTACACTCGTTCTTTTGTCTATGTCGCTGTTCTTATGTTCTTTTCTTCTTTACGTTCTTCTTGGAATTTCTGAGTCGGGAGACTGCAATGTGGTTTCATTGTGTTTTGTGTTATCATACAGATTGACTTACCTATCCACATTGTCATTTTTTGAATTGCACTGCTTCCAGATGTTGTCATTTTACAGGATGTTTGTTCCATGCTTGTGTCCTGAGAATTGTAACATTATGCCTGTTTTTTAAAACCTAATAAATCTTAATTTGCACAAAGAAATATCCCGTTGCCAGAACTGCTAGGAATGGAACCAGAACCCTAGTGAATACCCTAGGAGCTACTGTCAACCCAAAAGGTATAGTCACAAAGTGGAAATTAATTCAGATCCATATAGGACAAGCAGAGAAGCAATGTCTTTAACTGTTTCCATGTCACAACGTGTGCTCTGGTCAGAAGCAGTGGCGTAACAACCGGGGGGGGCACTTGCCCCGGGCGCAGGACTGAGGGGGGGGCGCCGTCACGACCCCCGCTAAACGAAGCCCCTGCCTCCCTCTCTCTGCCACATTCACCCGGCTGTCATCGGATGGCCGCTTGCTCCTCCGCGGCCACTGCGAGCGGCCCTCTACAGTGCCTGATTGGAGGGCGCGTCTGCCTGATCCAGCCAGCCCGGATCGCATAGCGGCGATCCGGAGTGGCTGGATCAGGCAGAC